GATGACGACAACGGACGACAAAAGGCGGCGGCGGCGGCGGCGGCGTCGCGAGCACCTGCTGCACCTTCTTCGTGCCGGCCACCTGGCTGAGGATCGTGGGGCACTTGATGGCCGCCGACCTCTCGAGGTGGTGGCGCGCGTCCCACGCCCGCTGGTCGGGGTAGTCGTCCGGCCCGTAGCCGAAACGGAGGTACGCGACCGACACCTCGAAGAGCTGCGATGGGTTGCGGGGCAGGTGGTAGAGGAGCTGGCGCTTGGCCGTGTCGGCAACCGTCGTGTGCTGCAGGATCTGCGACGACGGCAGCCGGAAGACGCGGATCGGCCATGCCGTCTCTGTCAGCGCGTACTCGATGTGGCGCTGGTCAAAGACGTTGCGCTCGCCGTCTTGCACGATGAAGAGGACGCAGCGCTCATGGCCGAGCTCGGATTCGCCGTACGCATCGTGCGCCGCGCGTATACCTGCCGCGAGGCCCCTGGCGCTGTCGTTCTCCGGCAGATCGAGCGTGCCTGTAGGGATGGCTTTCTCGAGGAGGGGGTATTCGGCAGAGGCCAAAAATCTGTCGTCTGGTCAGGACGCCATCATGGAGGATGCGGGAGGGGGTGTCAGTGGTAGGAGTACTTGTGCAGCAGGCTCGTCTGGGATGACAGGCCGCCAAAAGAGGCTGCGATCGTGTTGAACTCGACCTGCTTCACTTGGCGCTGGCCTTCTTCATCCTGGTGCACCAGGTAGTCTGACCTGAAGAGGCCAAGGGACAGGTTCTGCAGCAGGAGGGTCAGTGACTGATACATAACACGATTCACGGCCAACATACTTGCGTGTAGCCTTCCTCCTTGACCTTGAGGTGAATGTCCCACAGGCTCGTCGTAAACTCATCTCCGTCTCGGACCCTGTCGTGTGTCAGCCATAAGTGCTGTTAATTTTTGGTTGACGGCACACCGCAAGGCGTCATGTCGCAGTGCAGGTCGTGGGGTGGCTCACTCCTTCACGGCATCAGCGAGGAACTCCTCGTCCCTGCTGATGGCAGCATAGAGCTCGTTGTACGTCTTCTGCACCGTCCTCGCCTGCTCAAAGCATTGCCTGGGGAAGGGGCTCGGGAAAAGCGTAACAGGCACATTGATGGCGAGCATGCTCTTGGGGTCGACGTCGCTCGAGACAACGGACGGCTGGGGCCGCACGGCAAGGCCATGCCCGATCGACCAGTCCTTGATGGTCTGGACGAGATCATCCTGCTCGGCCTGTTTGAGGGATGGCGGGTACTGCTCCGCTGTGACGGCTGCGGGTGCCATTGTGCTGAGGATGCACGCGAAGATGGGATGTGAGGTTGATCGGTCTCAGAGGGAGCCGAGTTGTGAACCACTGCTGTTTCCCTTATGATGAAATGTCTACTGAGTTTGGCTTGGTGACATGTGTTGGTGATGGTAGAGGTGAGTGTGTTGCAGTGTACAGCATTCGCCATAGTCGACAAGAGTTGAGTGATTAATAATGTCATCTTCCCGTTACCAACCATTTGGCGTACGATGGTGGGGTGTAGAGGTACCTTTTTGGCTCCTGTGTCATGCCCAAGTCGGCACTGAGCATCACTTGTTTAGCTTTGCGACTAACTATTTCTGGTGAAAGCAGCATCGCATCCTACAGCATGGCGTTGGGATGTATTCTGGAGTTCTTATTTTCTAGTACAGATGGCACATTTGGTCCAGAACCAAACCAGTCAAACAGCTCAAATACAATCATTACCTCGCAGCCACGCGTACCAGTTTCATCCATCGTAATCGTTAGATGTAAATAATTCGCCCACACGCCTCCATGCAGTCTGTCTACTTTGAGCTTCGGAAATGCTTGACCGGATTCAACAGCAAAGGGTGTAACCGGCCACGCTCCCAAAACGAGGCTCTGGCCGAAGAGTACATGGAGCTTCTTGGCGACCCAGGCTCGACTACCGGCAAGTCTGGCACGGGGACCTGGTTCTTTTCCCGCACTTCGTCCTTGGTGAGCCAGGGCATCGACGCGCGTGGAAAGGAAAAGACCGAGGAAGACTCCCAGTCCCAGTCCCAGCCCGAGTTGTCTCTGATCTTGGCCGGCACAGGGAGCGGAAGCATCGGTGGTTCCTCCACCACACCATGTGCACGAAAGACGGGCATCTCCTCGACACGAGGCTCGGGTGCAATCGACGCCCGGAGGAACGTCAGAGGCCGGACAAAGGGCCATGTCCAGCTTGGGGGCCGGGTCGGCGGTCTGGGCTCCAAGTCTATGTAGCGTTCGGACCTGCGTTTGCGCCACCGGACGAGAAAGACCAGAAACATGGCCACAAAGGCAGCGCCAGCTTGTGAAGTGTAAGCTTAGAGCCCGCCCTAACACGTTGAGAGAATATACGCACCAATGCTACCAATGGCAATGCCGGCTTTCTGGCCAGAATTGAGACCTCCGATGGCCGAAGCAGAGCCTGCTGTGGCGCCACCTGTCGGCGATGGCATCATCTCATCTGGTTTCGCGGTGCCGGTGACAGGAGTGCCCTCGAATGACGGGGATAGCAGATCATCAAGCGATGTCGGGCTCGCGGTCGATGATGTGGACCGAGGCGGGAGAGGTGTCAATGTGCCAATGATTGGCAGTCGCGAGGGAGGCTCAACGGGTTGCTGGGCGATGGGTAGCGTGCTTGGAAGCGGCACACGAGACAACCGCGGTGTTGATGTGGTCGTGGAAGCGGTTTCCACCTCGGACGAGGTCGTGGTCGATGTCGTGGTCGATGTCGTCGTCTCTTCCGAGGATGTTGTAGGAGGCGGCGAAGGAGAAGGCGCGGGGGGAGGCGGAGGCGGAGGCGGAGGCGGAGACGGAGTCGTTGTGGGCTCATCAGTAGTTGAGGGGGGCGGTGATGGTTCGCTCGATGGCGATGGTAGTGCTGGTGGTGGTGGCGGTGATGGAGGAGGAGGTGGTGGTGAAGGGAGAGAGGGGGGAGGAAGAAGAGGTTGAGCCGGCTCTGGCTGTTTGGCCGATGGTTGTTCCCTTTGCCTTTCTTTCCCCTTGCCTCGACCATTTCCTTTGCCTTGACCGTTGCCCTGGCCGTTGCCTCGACCATTGCCTTGGTCATTGCCTTTTCCTTGACCGTTCCCCTGCCCATTTCCCGGTCCATTCCCCTTGCCTTGACCTCTGCCGTCGCCGCCCCCATTCCCTCTGTTTCCGTCTTTTCCACCCTGTCCATTATCACCAGTATTTCCATCACCACCTCCCTTCCCCTTCCCCTTCCCCTTTCCATCCCCTCCGCCGCCTCGATCTGGCCCGCCAGAGGACGAGTCACCTTTGCCCGAGCCTGGCCCCTGACGAGGGACAACAAGACGGTTGCTCCGACGCCTCACCGCGTCAGTGATCTCCACCGTGGGAGAACGAATGATGGCCATGACGGAGGGAGAGCCGACAGAAGGTGCAGATCGTGTGAGGGGAAAAAAAAAGAGAAAAAAAGAAAACTCCTCAGGAGCGAGCAATGCCTAGACAACGCAAGTTGACCCGCTCAGCAGTCGAGGGAGGCCAGGCCATCTTTATTGCGACGACGAGACCCGTCATTTTGCCTGACAGCGAGCTGGTCCCAAGTTGTCAAACGGTCGACCTCGACCACTGTGTCGCCTGGTCCCATGTTTGGAAACGCTTGGCATCTGGACCAATGCTAGAGGAGCTTTTGGGGGGGAACAGGACACAGGCGAGGGGACGCAGGCAAGGGGACGCAGGCGAGGGACGCAGGCGATGGGAGGGTTCGACGATGGTGGTGGACGGTGCTCGAGAGTCCAGCCCACAGACGGGACGGGCGTTTCAAAGGAGCTTTGACCTGGCGGTCCAACGGCGCGGCCTCATCAGCACCTGCCTCTCTGCGCGCGGGGGTCTCGTATGCTTGTTCCCTACCCGAGAAGAGTCACCGTTCGGCGAGGCTAATGGTTGCGCGGGGAATACAGGTTCAGGCCAAACAGGGCCCGTGTGAACAGTGTTGCACCATCCCCACCGGCTTGGGCGGCGATGATTTTCCCGGTGCTGGCCATTCGCCTGGCTCGAGGCTGTCTGTGGTCTCAGGTACGCGCATCATGGCGCTGCTGGGATGCTAGGATCATGGGGAAAATCCTGTTAGATTGCAGTGGCCACGATGTATCGCACGGAGTGGCTGCTGTGACAAGCAAATTTGGCGAGAGTACAAGTGGTGGCCCGTCAGCAACTAGGTAGGTACGATAGGTCCCTTAGGTCTAGTAGGTCGGCAGGCAGTGAAGGCATTCTAGAGCTTCACTCGATGTCTCCGTCATGGATGCATCTGTCCAGGTTCTGAAGCCGTGCATGATAGGCTAGAAACAATGAATGGCTTGATAACAACCTGACCTACATACATGTAGATCACAGCCCGGCACTGCACAAGAGTGTCGTCCCGAGGAGGAGTTCTTGTATACGATTCATGTGGAGCTGGCATGTTTGCATTCACCGCCCCAGGCGAGGGACGTAGATCACGTGCTTTCATGACCTTTCCGCGACGGACACCACGTAGGCTTGTTGCCTTTGTGTCCCCCCCCCCCCACTACTCTTGCGCTGTAGCTGTAGGAATCGTCGCGCTGCCATCGCGTTACGGCTCGTCCCACCCACACCCACTCTCCACACTGAGACAGCTTCGAGCTCTCACAAGACGACAAGTATCTGACGACTTGTACTTGTTGCTCAGTATTTTCTGTCGCTATCAAGCTCTCCTTGTTGTCTTCTGCATCGTCATCCTCTTCTCAATACACTATTGGCACAGAAAGCTGTCGGTGTTCTCTCTTCACTAGGCACCTTACGCAACTGCCTTCATCAGCACCAGGCCTTGTGAAGGAAGCCACCTTGTAAGTCTCTCACAGCGCTATAAAAAAACGGCCATCCTCCGCATCGTCAACCCGCATCGTCAACCCGCATCGTCAACCCACACCGGCGGAGAAGACTTGTCTTACTGCAGTCATTTCAATGAATGGTTAGTGACTCCTTCTTCTCCGCTCCTTTGGCGTGCTGTCTTCCATTGCCAAGCGGCGGGCTTGCGATGGTGAGAATGGCGTTTCCGCCCTTTCCTTCTTTCTGGCACCTTCCTTACTCCTAATCGGATCCCCTGACACTCTGCACAAAGCAAATGCCTTTCCAAGCAGTCTTGCTAACAAAGTATCAAGCTTCTCATGTCACGACTGTCAAGCCACGTCCTCCACATCAGGCCATCCAATTCGTCTAGATGCATCATACCTGTGGCCGTCTGAGCTCGTGACCATGCCCGACTCCAATGATGACGATCCCTACGAGTGGGACGTCGAGAGACTCGCCTCTGAACTAGGCCGTGAGGGACGTTCCTGGGGCTCGCTGAACCCTGCAAAGAGACCCGATCCCGAGGCTCTTACCCGGTCGTTGAGACTCCATGAGGTGGATGGAGAGATCCTGCTGAGCTGGGAGGATGAGTTCCAAACCCTTGACACTCTGTTTTCCGATCTCGGGCTCAAAAAGTCCATCCACAAATTCGCGCTCAAGAAAGCCATTGCTGCTCTCAAGAAGCGCAGTCCGACCTACAGAAAGGCTCAAGCCCAGCGGGCCAAAAGCCAGACCCCTGAACCCGCACAGCATGCTGAAGATGCGGACATGCATAGTATGCAGCCTGGTGTCTACGAGACCGTCACGGACACGGCGACCATGCCTGCAGCCCTGATCCCTACGGACACCATGACCAAAACTGCCCCGTTGGCAGCTACCCCCGTGGCAACTACCCCCGTGGCAGCTACCCCCAAAGGCAGCACGACTTCTCCGTCGGGTCAACCGCTTGCACTTGAGCCCGCACAGAAGAAGAGGAGGCTGGCACCAGAGCTCATCTCGGCCAACGTCAAAGGAAATGGCCTCCCATCTGCTGCCGCTGCTGTGGCCGCCAAGTCGCAAACACCCAGCGCTCTCTACCTACGGAACAACAAGTTCACAACAAACGCGACTGTGCATCATCCAGACTTGGACCTGCTCACGCTTCAAGACTCCACCGCTGATCATGCCTCAGTACAATTTAATTGGGTGCGATCCAAGTACATCCCGCCTGGAACACGTCTTCAGATCAACCGTGCCATGAAGAGATTGTTTCGGACTAACAACGAGTCATTTGCCCAGTTGGCGTCCGGATTCGTACCACAGCTCGAACACACTCAGCTTTCGGACGAGTCCGTGGAAGACGAGTTGCTCCCCCTGTTTGGAGACTCTGGTGACGAGGCAGAGTATGATGCTGACACCCTGAGAGAGATGGAAGAAGAGACCAACGAGGCCCAAAAGCCCCCAACATCCCTCTACCTTGGTAGGGAGAAAGTCGAGGCTATTCTTGACGAATCCGTTCAAGCCGTCGTGTCTTCATGGACCAACACCAAACTTCCTCGCCTGCAGCACAAGGCCCACATGCTATGGAATCAAGCACGCCGCAATGACCGCAACCGACACATAAGCCAAGCTGTCTTGCGCGTTGCTGATCTTGACCGTCGTATTGCAAAGTTGCGCGCCGAGATCCTCTTACAAGACTGGTCTAATCCGAGCCAGCTCCGTCACCAGGCGCGATGTATGGAGGCCAGCTTAGAAGACCGAGAGCACCAGTCATGGCTGGCTGACATGCTCAAAGGTCGCGAGCCCCCTAAGATCAAGCCCCTCCCTCGGTCCCACGTATCCGTGATGCCGAAGGCCCTAGACTTTTACCCGGATGAAGAAGGCGATCTGATCACAAGCGAGGCAGAGGACAGTGATGGCCACAATGACTTTGTTGTCGACGACGAGATGGAGATCCTGTCGACCCAGCAGCTCGTGTCCACCAAAGAAAAGCGACGTGGTTCCACAGAAGTCGAATCACCAAAGTCTCCATTCTCTGCCGCTGGCAACCCAACGAAACCGACCCCAATGCGGTCCCCCCAGCCCAAAGCCGAGTTCACACCCCAGCGGAGCGCTTTCATTGATCTCACGGCAGCTGATCGCATCGTCACGAGCACCGCCCGCCGAACAGCCTTTGGCGAGCAGGATGTGATCAGTTTAGTGACGCCCGAGAAACCTCGGTCCCTGGGACCGCGGGAGTCTGATGACAGTGGTCCAACCGAACCGCCCTTGAGCGCTCAACACGACGAGCTTGACATACCATTCGACCGACCGCAAGATATAGCAGCCGTCAGCCTCGAGACATGGGAGGCAGCTAGAGACGCCAAACGGCTCACAATCGCTTTCCTCTGGCGCCGGAAGGAGCCCTGGAGGGACGTCATATTCGATTTCTTAACAACAGAGCATCCTGCTGATCTATGGCGCGGTCTCATCCTTCCAGTCTGCAAGACAGGGGACCTTGCTCATAGTGGACGTCGTGCGTCAGAAGGGCTTTTCAGGCTCCGCAACATTCTCTGCCGACTGTTTTGTCAGTACCTGTCGTGCCGTTCCATTCGGCGCCTGAATGCACTAGGGGAGGAAGGCAAGCTGCTGGTCCTTCGCAACCTGAAAGACTTTGCCGAGTTTTGCTACTTCCTCGCACAGCACGTCATCCCCTCCTTCCCCAGGGTTGACGCGCAGCACGACCAACCACTGACTCTGGCTGGCGAGTGGTCGGGGGCAGAGGAAGAGGAAGAGGAGGAGGAAAGAGAAGCTTCTGGAGACGAAGATCTCACCGGAAACGAAGCTACTCCCTCTAAAAAGCGAAGGCGACGAGTCATTGAGGATCAGGGGGCCAAAGACAACCGAGAGGCCAACCTGCAGAAGCAGGCCCTGGACGAGGAGCGCAGGCTGAAACTGCAGCAAAGGCTGGCCGCGTCAGCTACCATTTCCGGGGACCGTTCGCGCCTCATCATCAACGTGAGTAAAAAGGGAGACGACGACAAAGACTTTGTCTACGTCAACGACGAAATAGCCAGAAAGATCAAAGACCACCAGATTGAAGGTGTCCGATTCATGTGGAACCAAGTCGTCGCGGGCAAACAGGGCTGCCTGCTGGCTCAAACCATGGGCTTGGGAAAGACGATGCAGATCATCACGCTTCTCATTGCCATCGTCGAAGCGTCCGCTTCGCCTGAGCCATCCGTCCGAGCGCAGATACCGGAGCGACTTCAGCGATCGCAAACCTTGGTCATCTGTCCCACCGGTATCGTGGACAACTGGAGGGAAGAGCTCACGGCCTGGGATAATCAGAGCGTCCTTGGTGAATGCTACACAGTTGATTCGAAGCAGGACAGTGTCACGAGGACGAGCACGTTGCAGGAGTGGGACGTTCGTGGTGGCGTCCTGGTCCTCGGATACGATATGCTGAGGAGCTTGGCTCGCGCCGATGAGGGTTTCAAAAAGATTCTTACAGACAGACCCAACATTGTGGTGGCAGACGAGGCGCATCGTCTGAAGAATCAAAGGTCGAAACTCGCGGCGATTGGTTCACAATTCCGGACCCCGAGCCGCATCGCCCTGACGGGTTCTCCTCTGGCCAACAACGTGGGCGAATTCTACTCCATGATCGACTGGGTCGCTGAAAACTACCTCGGTCCATTGAAGGAGTTCAACGCTTACTATGCCCTTCCCATCCAGGAAGGGCTGTACGGAGACAGCTCGCATGGCGAATACCGCTTGGCCAAGAAGAGGCTCGCCATCCTCGCGAAGACTGTCGCTCCCAAGACGCATCGTCTCACGATCAAAGCCTTGAAGGACGAGCTCCCGGACAAGGTTGAGTTCTTCCTCACGGTTCCTCTGACTCCTCTTCAGGAGGAGCTGTACGACCTTTACGTCCGGTCTGTCCGGGAGAATGCTGAGTCGCAGGCAGATAGCACCTTTGCCGTGCTCGACAACATGATCCTGCTCAACAACCACCCCCGTTGCTATTTTCGCAAGCTGGAGAAGGAAAAGAACATGCTGCGTGTTCCCCAGGGTGGCGATACGACCCAGGACAAATCGATCACGCCTGCGTTCCTGACGAAGAGCATGAAGGTTTTGAATCGGTGTCGGGATCTGAATGACATTAGTCTTTCATGGAAGGTCAAGGTCCTTGTTGCCATCCTCGACGAGTGCCGCAAACTCAGGGAAAAGGTGCTCATCTTCAGCCAATCGATTCCGACCATCGACTGGCTGTCGACGCTCTTCCGGCAGCAGAAACGGCCTTACAGCAGATTGACCGGCGACACCTTGCCAAGCATACGGCAGAGCATGGTTAAGAACTTCAACGAAGGCGATAATGAAATCTTCGTTATCTCTACGCAAGCTGGCGGTCAAGGACTCAACATTACGGGGGCTAGTCGAGTGGTCATATTCGACTTCAGGTTCAATCCAATCGCCGAACAGCAAGCCATCGGAAGAGCGTACCGCATCGGACAGTCCAAACCCGTTGTGGTGTACCGGTTCGTCTCCGGTGGCACGTACGAGCAGCACTTGTACAACAAGGCCGTCTGGAAGATGCAGCTTGCATCTCGCGTGGTTGACAAGGACAATCCCAAACGCTGGTCGACCAAGACCAAGGATGCGTTCACAAGGGACTACAAGGCGCCCGAACAGAAAGACCTCACCGAATTTCTCGGCAGAGACTCGGTTCTGGACAGTGTGCTCTCTTCGCCAGCCTTTGCCTCGGCGATCCGGTCCATCATCGTCACCGACACATTCGAGGAAGAGGACCCCAATGACTACCATTTTGACGCCCAGGAAAATCAAGAGGTTGAGCTGATGGTGCGTCTGGAGCAAGCTCGTATCACTGATCCGACCCGGTATGCTCGACTCCTTGCGGAGAAGAGCGCGAGAGAGGGTGCCCAGCAGATGCAAGCACTTGGCTACGGACATGGGCACGCGAACTTGCAACAGATGCAGACTGGTGCACCGGGAATCATCCACCCATCACCACATGGCCGTGTAGTCCCAAGTAACGGAACCATGGTAGGCAGGCCAGCGCCAGCTGGCGTCACCATGAGCCCGGGAGGTATGCCGTACTACACAACGTATGCGGGCGGTGGATCGCAGCCGGCAAGCGTGCCGCGAGCGAACGAGCTGGAGTCGCCGTTCGGACAGCATGGCTCGCAAAGCCATGTGCAGGCTTCCGTATACACTACGGCCAGAGCAGGAACGGCGGCGGCGTCGACAACTCTGCCGGTCATGGGAGCCAACACATTCATGAGTGGACAGGAGGGCACGACGGCATCTCCAGCCCATGTGAGGAAGTCGACACCCTTGCAACGAGGATCGCCCCAGGCAGGCTCTTCGCCGGCAGTCTACCGAGGAACGCAAGCGAAGGAGCTTTTTCAAAAACAGCTCATCCGATCGGTACAGTCGAGCAGCGAGTTTGACGAGATTTTGCAGGCGCACGATGCCGAAGGCCAGGCCAAAGCGATTGCTGAGGCGGTGCACGAGCAGCTGAGCGGGCGCGGCGCCCTCCCGATCCTGAGCTCCTGGAAGACTCTTAACTTGTTTGCTCAGGGCCAGAGCTTTGCGGCGGGCGTGCTCAGCGGGCTGGTGACGGTGGAGTTTCTGGCCAACACGACGGACGACGGTGTGTTCCAGCAGCGGGCGCAGGAGTTGTCCGGCATGGACCGGTCGGAGCTGAAGGAGCAGTTGCTCCAGGCACTGCGTCGACCGCACAACGTACATGTATGATCCGCCCGAAACTTTCCCCCGAGTCAACGAGCAGCAAGGGGACCATGAAAAGGGTTTCCCACTTCTCCCGCTCTCGCCCGAAGACCATCTTGAAGGCAAAAAAGTGCCAGACTGACACGACTTGACAGAGCACGAGCGAAGGACATGGCAAAGGGGCAGACACGGCGAGGGCTGCGACAACGGCAGCGGGCCCATCGACAACGCCGTCGAACAACAGCAACAAGAATTACGACAGCCCCGTCCGAGGCGCGGCCGAATCACGGAGGAAGAGGCCGGTCAGACTGCCCAGCTGGGCGAATAGGGCAGTCAAGGATGGGCAGTGAGGGTGGCGGATGTTCGGCGGCGATTGCGGACAGGCGTTTCGGTTCCTTTTGGTTTCGTTCTTGGCCTTGGTCTCGTTTCTCATGATACCCCCCGGCCCTTGAAGATTTGGCCTTGAAGATTTGGCGTTGGAGAAGAGGACAAGGGGAGAAAGAGAACAAGGGGAGACGGTTGATAGGGTTTGCCTGGCGGGGTCTCGATGGGGTCGATGTGAGTTTTTCGGGGCTCTGACGGACACTTCCTTTTCTCGTGGGTCAGGTAGCGTCAGGCTCGTAGCTCACATGACAAGGGAGGACCCTCGACTGATACGGCATGTACCCTATAGTTGTGTGTGGCTTTGACTGTATCTGTCAGAATACAAATGAGCGTTTCGCTTATGGCGAGGAAAAGAGCATCGTTGAGTTCCGTAGGTTTTGTTTTTTCTTCTTCTTGTGAATAATTGAAGAAGACAGCAGCGGACGGGTCCTTTTCATGGCCGTCCCCGCTGGATCACAGAAGGCCCCCTTCATGGCATCCTGGAAGCTCACAGACACTTGGATGTCAAGGGGGGAACAGATTACATTAAGCCGCACTCCAAGTCAGCCAAACACGGGTATCATCCAGAAAGACTCCTAACTTCGGAACCCTCTCAACACCTCGTATCTCAATCAAATGCTCTGAAGCTCTACTTACTACATGATCGGCGACATTGTTTAGGGTAAATCTATTTTTATCAGTTTTGAGCTGGAATAAAGTATAGTAGGATGGTTCAAAGTGAGGTCACCTCTGAGCAGTGTAGCTTTTTTTGTCCCCCCCCCCCCCCCCCCCCTCCCCCCCTTTCTGGATGTGTCAGGGTGAGCTGTTACGGGACATCTGGCAAGCTGTACCGGCGTCAAGTCGCTAGCGGTGGCCGGTGGACAGTGGATCGTGGCATCGTGTCATGGAGAGGCCTCTGTCATGGATGCGTATTTGACTCCTGGTGCAAAAGCCGAGTGGTGAGGGAGTTTAGACCAATGAGGAGAGGGGTAATTCCCCCCAGGCAATGACTTGCAGGCGAGGCGGTGAGTGGCCAGAGAAGGCCAGATGTCCACTAAAAGACCGCTACTACGTGCGGCCACAGGGGCTTGAGGGGCTACAGCGCGGGGCTAACGCTCGATGGCCAGGCGGCAGGGGGCCAATGGGGCCGCTCTCGCAGACTTTTTACTGGGCCGACTGAGGAGGGATCCCGAGACGCCGAGGGCGTGGTCTGTTTTCTGTTCTCGCAGGTACAGGGGTCCCCGCCATGCGAGGTACACAGTGTCTGGGGCGGAAGGCCAGGGGCACAGCTGGTGCGTGATGGGTGATGCGCAGGGGATTTAATACAGTGCATGCGCCTTGCCGAGACGATCCGGGCCCCACCAGGCCTCGCTTGACCACCGCGCGGGCAGTCACCGGAACGGGCTTTGCGAGCCTCTGCCGACCCATGGAAACTGTGACGGACGACTGACTGCAGCAGGACTGACCGAGCACACTAAGGAACTTGCCTGGCTCGAACGTGCCTGCCTGCCCTGTGCCTGCCCTGTGCTCGTGTGGCTAAGACTGTTTTTGACAACTTGAGGTACTCCGCCGACTCTCGCCTCGCCTCGCCTCGCCTCGCCTCACCTCGTCTCGTCTGGTTTCTTCTTTATTACTTTCCACCACTCTCCCCCCCCCCTCTCCCCTCTTTCGCTACCCGTCAATTCGCCTTCTTCTCACGATCACGATTGCTTCGTGCTACGAAAGACTCTGCCTTTCTTGACTGACTGTCGAGTGCGGTCGCCAATTGTGTCAAGCCGCCCCTTGTGTCAAGTTCGCCACAGACGCAGCACTTTTGGTACCTCCTCATCACCGAAT